ACAAGTCGCGGACAAACGCCCGAGATCCCCAGACACGGAACACAGACGCATCGCCGACCTTCCCCGTCCACAGTAACACTGGGGACATCGCGGGCGAGAGACCCTGGGGTGAAGGTTTGAGCTGATGCGCCGCGTACCGAACCGCAAACGGCCACAGAAAATGGGGGCGGCCGCATGCATCATGGACGTACGAGCGACATCCATGACCATGCCAATGCGGCGCTCAGCAATCCCATTTTGCTGTGGAGAGTCCGGAAGCGTAAAGGTCTGGCGGATTCCCCTGTGCACGACAGTAGTCTCGCAGAAGGCGAGAGGAGAACTCCCCACCTCGGTCAGAGTGCAGACGCAGAACAGGAAAGTCCGAGCCGAAGCTCCTCCTGAGCTGGAGACGAGCCTCGCGGATCCAGTCGATCAGCACCTCAGTGACAGCACCCTTGCTGCGCAAGGGGAAGACTGAGGTGTAACGCGAGTAGTCGTCAACCACCAACAGGAAGTAGCGCTCGTGACCCTGCCCACGGACGGGGGCCGGGCCCCACACGTCCATGTGAAGCGTCTGCAGAGGAGCCTCTGTCGGGGGAAACTGGGAGGAGTGAGGAGCAGCCCTGAGGCGCCCCTCGACACAGGGGACACAGGAAGGTCCTGGTCCCGAAGGAAGGGGAGGGAGAGACTGGGGAAGACCAGAGACAAGGACACGGGAAGCCATGCCCCGAAGACGGGGCAAGGAGGGGTGGCCTAGACGGTGGTGCCACAGAAGAGTCTCGTGAGACAGGAGGCGACACGAACAGGGGGCAGACTCAGGACCAGACCTGGACGCAGCAAGCAAACACCTGACCCGACGCTGCTACCTGACCGGACGCGGGGACAGGAGGAGACTCAGTGGTCAGGGTGTAGAGGGCTCGGACCCGGCCGACGCGAGAACGTGGCCAGGTGCCGGCCTGTGCGTGCGTCCGTGCAGTGGGTCACCCGCTGACTCGCAGGAGTGAACTGGTGAACCCCCGCATCCTGTAGGTCTGCACCACTCACCAAGTTCGTCGAGAACGAGGGGAGGTACAGGCCAGACAGGGTGCCCGAGGGGGCAGCCGGACACGGGAGGACAGTGGAGAAGTGAGCGAGGACAGGACCCCCAGAGGGGTCAGCCAGGGAGACTGCAAACCGGCCGACCAAGCGGCGTGAGTGTGGTGCGGGTCCCGAAAGAAGGAGCGAGAAGCCCCAGAGTCAAGTGTAAAGGTGAGGGTAGGCCGAAGCCAACGCGGTACCTGAGAGCGCAGCCTCACCCGCACCTGAGGAAGCAGACTCACTAGCACCTAGAGCAGCAGCCGCACCTGTACCTGGAGCAGGAGACTCACTAGCACCCAGAGCAGCAGCCTCACCAGTAGCTAGAGCAGCAGGTCCTATACCTGGGTCAGGCGGGGACGCACAGGTGACCGGCACGGTCAGCACTAGTAGGCAATGCATACATGGCAGTGAGAATAGCATCATAGTCAAGAGCATATATATCTACCCTCTGCCTAAGCAACTCCACCCAGTCGGGAAGCTCAGCCTCGTCGCCAAACGCGGTACGCCAGGCGTCGCTCAGACGGGCGAAGCAGCGGGACGGTGTATGACTACGTGTCCCACAAGGCTGACCAGTCCGAGTACCAGTGCGAATCACGTAAGAGCAGCGAACAGCACTTGAGAGACCTCCCACTCTGAGCGTACCACTTCACGAAGCTGGCGAGGCGTGAGAGGACACGCGAGAGGGTCGCGGGAGCTGCATCTGGCCGCCACCACGAGTAGAAGCAGCAGGAGTGGTAGTAGGAGTAGCGTCGCCACCCCTACAGCCCCAACCAGCGTACCACTCACGCAGCTGCTTGGGGCGTGAGGGACTCACGCGGCGTCGCTGGGCTGCATTTGGCTCCGCAAGTAGAAGCAGGAGCAGGACTAGCAGCAGGGAGGCAGGCAGCCAGGCAAGCCAAAAGGCAGGCAGGCAGGCAAGCAGGCGACGCGCAGCGTGCTAGCAGGCAAGAGCCTCACCAGTGGTGGGAAGAGTAGGCTCTGGCGACTCAGCGGCTCGGCAGCTCGGCGGCTCGGCGGCTCGGGCGACTCGGGCGGCTCGGCGGCAAGGCGGTCTCGGCAGCAACTGCAGCTCAGCTGCTCGGTGACTCAGCGGCTCGGCGGCAGGGCGGCTCGGCAGCAACTGCAGCTCAGCAGCTCAGCGACCTCCGGCGGCTCGGCTGCCAGGGCGGCTCGGCTGCTGGGCGGCTCGGGTGCAGGGCGGCTCGGCGGTGGGGCGGCCGGCTGCTGCAGTGGGAGATGAAGGAGGAGGGAAGCAGGGGAGGCCACACACCTGCCACCCCTCTGTGGCCTCTCCCGCAAGCGGCCCCCCTCAGGTCGCCTCGACAGGCGACGGGAAAAGGGGGGGCCGCGTAAGGGCTGGGCGGGCCGCGACAGAGTCGTCGGCGGGGTCCGCGTGAAAGCCGGGGCGGGGCCGCGTAGAAGCCGGGGCGGGGCCGCGCGAGAGCAGGCAGCGGGGCCGCGAAGGAGCCGGTGGCGGGGCCGCGTGAGAGCAGGCGGCGGAGCCGCGTAAGGGCCTGGGCGGGGCCGCCGACAAAGCCGTCGGCGGGGCCAGCGTGAAAGCCGGGGCGGGGCCGCGTAGAAGCCGGGCGGGGCCGCGCGAGAGCAGGCAGCGGGGCCGCGAAGGAGCCGGGGCGGGGCCGCGTGAGAGCAGGCGGCGGGGCCGCGACAGAGAGGGCGGCGGGGCCGCGTCAGTGAAGGCGGCGGGGCCGCAGGGGAAATGGCGACCCGAGGGTCGCTAAAAAAAAGATCGCGCCTCGGGGGGCGCTTCGGTGGGCCCAAAAAAAACGGTCCGTAGAAGGACCCGCTCTATACCATGTGAGAATAAGCGAACAGGAATGTGTGAACTAGCAGTGAAAATGAGTACAAGTAGGAAACCCTAGAATTGTGTACCCCCTATAGGCTAACCCACTGTAGCCTACACAAGCATAACATATATAATGTTTGACAGGTAGATATTATCCATACGTGGGTTTTTTCTGCGGTATAGGTGTCGTTTCCGATTTGCCTCCAGAATTTGGCGTCGAGGAATTCAATCTCCATAGCAGAAAGGTCTGTGCATAGGAATACCGTATACGATTCTTAACAAGGTGCTCCCTAAGACAAGATGTTATGCGATTGTTTAGCCCCATACTTTTACCTCCTTGTAGAAGCCGAGTATTAAACGTAGATTAAGTGTCGTAGAAGGGCCGTCCGGTCGTCAATTATTTTATTCGGCTGGCCCTCCCTTTGATGGCGAGTTCTATCGGCTGCATTGCTAGCTCCATACGCGCCCTACAAATTTCGCGAGTGTAGTGAAGGTTTGCATAGCAAAAATACATCTCTCATTGTATTGTATACAACAACACCTATATTTATACACGGTTTAAAAAAAAAAAAACGGAAAGGAAAATCTATTTCTACTGCGGTACTAACAAGACCTCCAAAGAACTCGTCTGCCTCTATCACTCCTGGTCGCCAGTGCCGGTGTTCTCCTCCGTCTACGCATCCTTCGTCGCGTTCCCCTTCGCGGACGATTTCTTGGTTTTCTTCTCCTTATCTGCTCGTGTTGTGGTATCCTGGCCGCCCAACTTCTTCTGCAAGACTCCGAGGCAGACGCCCTGGTGCTGACGAAGGCCTCTTGATGCCATGCTGCATAGGCACCAAGAGGTCACCACCTTTGCCACCACCCTTGTCATCCGCTTTGTATCCCCGGCCGCTCGCGACTCTGCCGAAAGCGCTTTCAGCAGCGCATCCGACAGGGGCAGAATCCACGCTTTCCTTGTCATGCTCCTGATCCTTGACCGACCTCATCGCCTCAACCGCAGCGCAAGCAACTGAGGCTGCAAGCGTCGCAAGGGCATCGAGGACGGCAGAGGTCACATCGGCCGCAGAAGATGACGAGGCAGCCGACGAGGCGGTGGCAGCAGTGGACGATCTGGCAGCAGAAGATGCTATGGCCGTAGAAGTTCCACGTGCAGCTGATGTTGCGCTCGTCTCCCACTGGGTCTGGTCCACATTCGTGGATGCGGCCCACATTACAGACAATGTGGCGGCAAGTCCGACTGCGTGTTCTTCCGTCGAATAGCCGTTTTCACCCTCCACGCCTCCCACCATCTTCTGCCACGCAGTTATTCCGACACCAGCGCAGGCAAGCTACCTGAAAGCCATCCCCCTGCTGCTGCCGAAGAGCCGTGTTGGTTTGAACGAGTGAGAATCTGCACAAGACACCAGTGACGCAAGATCAGAACCATCGAACTTCGCGGGTGTTTAGAAGTTGCAACTGTCCATCACATAAACACTCACCCGTCCGGTTTATCCAGGTGGAGCTCGTTGATGACGCTCCACACCCCTGTTGGAAGCCACGTTGTGAAGTCGAGGTCTTCCCGCCCTTGTTAATACGGTTTGGATTCATGCCGTATGCCTGCATGTCAATATCCGGGAAGTAGCACTTCCAGCAGACTGCGACCGTGTATGCCCTCTCCCACACCGTTTTGTGAGAGCCGAGGTTCCGCTTCCGGTCGCCGACGGTCTGCTCAGACGTCCACTTCTGCAATGCTCCCTCGCCCCGTTGAGAGAACCCGCTTCCCCTGAACGGCAGGCAGACACCCAAAGTCTTACCCTTGTCGTCCACTACGGCGTTTTTCCTGTTGTCACACTTGTCGATCTTCATCCCTTTCTTTTCCCCTGGGATTATCGGTATCAACTCCTGTATACCAGCTGCACGCCGTCTCTTAGCTGCATGACCCTCCGGCTCCCTGTCCTCCTGTCTAGGCCGCCTCCTGGACACCTCTACGTTCTGTCCGGGAACAATAGCCACGCCCTCTGCTACATTCGCCTCCCCGCTCTCAATCAACAGCAAACTCCCCAGGCCCTCAGCTATTTCCTCCTCGACTCCCTTCCAGGTCCCCTCCCCCTGCATGGTCAAATCCTCCTCTTCCATCTCCCTTGCCAATCGTTCCGTCTCTTCAGCCATCGCCTTTGCCTTTGCCTCCAGTTGCCGCTGCTGTTCCGCGTAGGATGCAAGTCTGGCCCTCTTCTTTGCTCGGCACTGCTCCGCCTTCTGCAGGCGCTCCATCTCCTGCTGTTTCGCCCTCTGCCGCCGCTCGGCCTCCTCTGCCTCCTTCTTCTGCGCCTCCTCCTTCTGCAGGCGCTCCATCTCCTGCTGTTTCGCCCCGCTGCTGCCGCTCGGCCTCCTCTGCCTCCTTCTTCTGCGCCTCCTCCTTCTGCAGGCGGTCCAATTCGTGCTGTTTCGCCCTCTGCTGCCGCTCTACCTCCTCTGCCTCCTTCCTCTGCCTCTCCTCCTTCTGCAAGCGCGCCATCTCATGCTGTTTCTCCCTCTCCTGCCTCTCGGCCTCCTCTGCATCTTTCTGCTGCGCCTCCTCCTTCTGCAGGCGCGCCATCTCCTGCTGTTTTTCCCTCTCCACCCGCTCTGCTTCCTCTGCCTCCTTCCTCTGCGCCTCCTCATTTTGCTGGTGCTCCTTCTCCTGTTGTTTCTCCCTTTCCTCCCGATCGTCCTCCCTCAGCCTCCTTCCTCTGCGCATCCTCCTTCTGTCGCCGATCTCCCTCCGTTGCCTTCCTACCCTGCTCCTCCTTTTGCCGCCGCTATGCGCCCAATCTCAGAACTACTGACAGCCGCTTTTCCACCTCACTTAGCATCCCCTCCTTCCACCCCTTCATCCCCGTCTTCATCTCCTTCACAGCCTCCATCACTTCCTTCATTCCCGCCTCCACCTCCTTCTGCCATCGCTCTTCCTCCTGATGTTTCTTCTTCCTCCGCCGCTCTGTGGCCTCTACATCCTTCCTCTTCTCCACTTCCTCCTTCCGCCATTGCTCGTCCAGTTGTTTCTTCTTCTCTCTCTCCTCGTCGTCCGCCACTTGTTTCCTCTTCGCGTCTTACTGTTGTCGCCGCTCCGCGTCCTCTTGCCTTGCCTTCTTCTGCCGCTCGGATTCTTCTCGCAAAACCGCGCTCAACCTCCCCACAATCGGGTTTACCATCCCATCCTTCATCTCCTTCATTTCTGCCTTCATCTCCATCATCGCCTCCTTCATCTCCTTCATTCCCTCTCTCATCTCCTTCTGCCGACGCTCTTCCTCCTGTTGTTGTTCCTTCTTCCGTCTCTCTGCGGCGTCTGCTTCCTTCCTCGTGGCCTTCTGCCTCCGCTCCTCGTCCTGCAGTCTATCCCTGTTCCGCCGCTCAGAGTCTTCTCTCAGAACCTCTCTCAACCTCTCTTCCACCCCCTTTAACGTGCCCTCCGCCATCCCCCCTCCCGACTGGCGAACCTGATCACTCACCCTTTCGATACTCTCCCACAAGTTGGAGAGTCTCGTGTCCACCTGCTCGCGAAACCTGGCCGCCGTTTCAGCTTGGCGCCGCCGTTCCTCGTTTCCATGGCTGACTTCTTCCAGGTTGGCCAGGGCGTCACGGCAGTAATGGACGGTCAGATCGGCCACATCGCGACTGATGTTGCTGTTGCGGGCCGCCAAGTTGCAGAACGTCTGCGTCACCATTCGGGCTAAGAGCGTCAGATGACGCATTACCTCTGCCGGGCTTATGTCCCAACTTTCGGCCTCGACGAACCTGTCACCTTGTTCGACTAGGACTGTACTCGTGCGCTGCAGCATCCGCCGTATTGCCGTCTCTGCCTCGACCCACTCTACCTGCCAAAACGCTTCTGCCACCTCGCCTTGGCCGAGATTCCTCTCCACTGCTCTCTGGTGAAGGGTAGGCCGCCTCTGCCTGTTGAGATCCACTGTATCCCTAGGCGCCCCATCGTCTGCCACCCTCCATGGCCCCTCTACCCCAGTTCCTGGTCCCCGCGTCGGACTTCCTCCCAAAAATATCCGGACTGCCGGATGTACCGTATCCTCCTCATTCTGCTCCTCTTCTGTTTCCAGCGCATCTCCCTCGTAGTGCCCCACTCCAGCTTCGGGACCACACGAACCTCCTCTGTCAGAACATTATAGCTCATGCATATTGTGTAGGCTATAGTGGGGTAGCCCATAAGGGGTACAACCCAATTAGGGTTAGTACTTGTACCCAATTCATTCATAGTTCATTAATTCTCGTTTCTTCTCATGGTATCGAGCAGGTTCCCTAACGGGAACGATTCCTAGGGCCCACCACTACGAATTTTTTTTTTTCCCTGCCCGGAGCGCGCTCCGCTTAGGCCCGAGTCGCGCCCCGTGTGCTTTCCTTACCGTCGCGCCCTCGCTAGGCCCCTCACGGCCCCGTCGCGTCGCCCTTAGCGGCCCCTAGCGGCCCCGTCGCGCTGCCCTAGCGGTCGCGTCGCGCCGCCCTAACGGCCGCGTCGCGCCGCCCAAGCCGCCCTCACGGCCCCCTAGCGGCCTCTTGCGGCCCCGATCCGCCGCTTTTGCGGCCCCGATCCGCCGCCCTTCGCGGCCCGTCGCCGCTCTCCCCCTACGGCCCCTCGCCGCCCTTTTACCAGCGGCCCCGTCGCCGCCCTTGCACGGCCCTGACGCCGCCCTCCCTGCGGCTCTGTCGCCGCCCTCTTCAGCGGCCCGTCGCCACCCTTCTCAGCGGCCCCGCCGTCTCCTTTCAGCGGCCCCGCCGTCTCCTTTCAGCGGCCCCGCCGTCTCCTTTCAGCGGCCCCGCCATCTCCTTTCAGCGGCCCCGCCGTCTCCTTTCAGCAGCCCCGCCGTCTCCTTTCAGCGGCCTCGCCGTCTCCTTTCAGCGGCCCCGCAATCTCCTTTCAGCGGCCCCGCCGTCTCCTTTCAGCGGCCCCGCCGTCTCCTTTCAGCGGCCCCGCCACTACCCCTGCAGCGGCCTCGTCGCCGCCCTTTCAGCGGCCCCGCCGCTTCCTTTAAACGGCCCCGCCGCCTCCTCTCGGCGGCCCCGCCGCCTCCTCTCTGCGGCCCCGCCGCCTCCTCTCGGCGGCCCAGCCGCCTCCTCTCAGCGGCCCCGGACGCCGCCCTCTCAGCGGCCCTTCCGCCGCCTCCTTAACGGCCCCGCCAAGCCGCCCAGCAGCAGAGCCGCCGAGCCGCCCAGCAGCCGAGCCGCCGATCCGCCCAGCCGCCGAGCCGCCGAGCCGCCCAGCCGCCGAGCCGCCCCGCAGCCGAGCCGCCGAGCCGCCGAGCCGCCCAGCAGCCGAGCCGCGGAGCCGCCCAGCAGCCGAGCCGCCGAGCCGCCCAGCAGCCGAGCCGCCGAGACGCCCAGCTACCGAGCCGCCAACCGCCCAGCTGCCGAGCCGCCGAGTCGCCCTGCAGCCGAGCCGCCCGAGCCGCCCTGTCTGGTAAGAGCAGCGCCTCTGTCACTGCGCTGCCCTCTGTTGGTGCAACCCTACGGTTTGCACTCGGCTTGTTGTCCGTGTGCGTGCATGTGTGTGTGTATGAAATGGTATGAGGGCATGGGATAATATATATTTCATGCTTATAATTGTGTGTGAATGTTGATTCATGATGTCGAGTGTGTGTGTGTCGAGTCAATAGCGAGTTATCGCTAGACGCGTGTTACGCGGTCGTTTGTGTCTCGCACGAGGTTTCTATTTTGTCGTGCGCGGTTTCTATTTTGTCCTGTGTCGAACGTTCAGCGTGTCGCAGGTGTGTGTAGAAGACCCATCAAGAACTCAAGGATGAGTTTGTGATGAAGAACCCGAGCCTTGGTGTCAAGCCACAAGTGATTTCGAAGCTCGCCAAAAGGGTGCACCTCAAGATATTGAAGATAGTTACATTACTTTGTGTAGTGTAACATTTCACTTGGTGTAGGCCCTAGTGAAGGGTAGTTTCGAGACCCTTCGTGGTTGGGGACAATGGGGCAATGGGACACTGTTCCACATCACTGTACCTCGGCTCTTGGGGTTTGTAAGAGCTGGGAGTCATTCCCAACTCGTAACTCTTCCTAACTCTTCCTATCTTGTGTTCTAAGACTATGTTGCTGCCATAGTGCCGTTCGTTCAAACCAACGCAGTGTCGTCAATACTTGGTCAAATCGTGCGATCTAAATTGCCCAGTATAGGCGAGAATAAGACGCTCCAGATCCAAGTTGAATCAAGTCATCTGATGTTGTGACCAGAACGCTATGAACGTTTGAAGCCGCTGTGCAGAAATCCGACTGTGCACTCTATCTTTCGTTTTAGGCACATTGGAGCCTACTGTGACTATAACAAGTGGTATCAGAGCCCCTTGGAGCAGTTTCGACGATGGCTGGACCTGAGGAAAGGGGTGGCAGAGGTGCTGGTGGCAGAGGAGAAGCCCAAGCTCAAGGCCAACCCCGTGATTCAGCCATGGCGCCTGTGCAACCAAGTGTTGGCCCATCTAGGGATGAGCCTAGAGTATTTGGCCTTGACAAGTTCAATGGTGACAACTTTGCTGAGTGGTCCTTCAGAATGGAGAACATATTTGACCACTATGACCTGCTGGAGGTGATGGAAAGAACGGAGAAGCGTCCCGAGAACGACCTGGAGAAGAGCCCGTGGGTGCGGAAGAGCGCACAAGGCTACCTCCTACTTGGGCAAGCGTTGGGGAGCAGCCAAATCCGTCACATTAAGCCTTTCCAGCGTGAACCAGAGAAGGGACCAAAGGCATGGGCTGCTCTCAAGGGTGTACACGCTCCTACAACAGCGGCGGTAGCTGTGGTGTTGGAACGGCAAATGGCAACACTACGAATTGAAGAGGATGAAGCGGTTGAAGAAGGGGTGCAGAAATTCTTCGACTTGTTGACGCGGCTTGAGGGAGCTGATTTGAACTATAGTGAGCTCCAAAAGAAGACCAAGTTGCTGGCCCTACTCCTTGAGTCACGGTCCTCGCTCATCATCAACCTTAATCGCGACTTGCCCCGCCTCTCGCTTGAAGACGTTAAGCGAGCTATCCTTCAAGAGGATTTCCGCCGCCGTGAGTTGGCGAGTGCGGATGGCGCTGGGGCAGCGAGCATCGGCCGTGGATATGGTCGAGGAAGAGGTAGAGGACGAGGGGGAGGAAGTTTTGGTGGCAGCAACTTCGGCGGAGGCCGCGGGAGTGGCGGTTACGGCAGCGACGACAAGAGCTACGGACACGGTCGCGGCCGATTCAACGGCGAGTGTCACTATTGCCACAAGAGCGGACACATGTGGTGCGACTGCTACAAAATCCCTGATGGTTGGACCCCTGCTCAAGGCCAAGAGGGTAGAGGAGCAGGAGGAGGGAGAGGACGAGGCCGTGGAGGCCGTGGCGGTCGCGGTGGCGGAGCTGCAAACATGAAGAGCGGAGACAACGACAAGGACCCGAGCGACGATCGGTACCCGGGTCTATTCTACTTCGTGTCGACGCAAGTACCAGCTGGTCCAGAAAAGGATGAAGGCTTTGAGGAGCCAGCAGCTGTGGGGAAGGTGACCCTACACCCCCTGGACTATTGGGTGATTGATAGTGGCGCTACCTATAGCATGACACCTCGCACGGACTTGCTCACCGAACTCGAGCCGTCACCGGTGAAGCATGTCACATCGGCTTTGGGGCAGCGAGCAGAGGTGAAAGGCATGGGCAAGGCCATGTTCAAGGGTGCTGATGGGAAGATGGTGGGCCTCAAGAACGTGCTTTGGGTGCCCAGCCTCGCTGCGAACCTGATCTCCGTGCGGCGGTTGGCAAAGGCCGGCATGGACACGAACTCGAAGGGAGCTAAGACCTACACCGCAAGGCTTGGCGATCGAATTCTTTGGGACCTTCATGAGGACAGAGATGTCTACAACGAGATGTGGCAGATCCCAGTGGTCCCTATGCCTAAGGAGAGGCAAGTGGCAGCAAGCATCAGCATTAAGGATGGAGCGGTTGGTAGCGACGATGGCGCGAACGGTCGCGCTAAGGAGAATGAGCTCAAGAAGAGCAAACCTGGAGGGACCAGCAAGTTCAGTGAACCTAAGGAGAGTGGTGCAGCAACCAAGGAGCAGCAAAAGGGTGAGGAGAACCCCGAGGCAGCAGCGGAGGAGGACTACGGAGAAAGTATGTGGGGCGCTATTGCGAGCGCGGCATTCTCCAATCCAACTTCGGCTACGGGGGAGTGTGATTGGCTCACCTTGCATCGGCGCATGGGGCATGTGGCCCTGCCCATCTTGCAGCAGCTAGTGAAGAATGAGATGGTTGCTAGCATACGTGTGAAAGGGGAGCCCAATGAGGTACTTGGCTGCCCGACGTGCATGCAAGCCAAGTTCACCCGATTCCCGTTCTCTAGTTCGGAGGCGACGGCTAAGGCACCGCTTGATGAGGTGGTGATGGACGTGGTGGGCCCCCTGAAGCTTGGAGCTGCTGGAGCTGAGTATTTTCTCACCATTGTCGACGTCTACACCCGCATGACTTGGGTGTATGTGCTGGCCAAGAAGAGCGACGTGGCTGGTTGAAGACGGATTGGTTCCCGATGGTGGAGCAGCAACAAGACCGTCTAGTCAAGTCAATCCGCACCGATCAAGAGGGAGAGTTCCTGAGCAAGGAGTTTGGGTTGTGGCTGAAGAAGAATGGTATTTGGCACTCCCTCACCATGCCATACTCCCCTGCAATGAACGGCATCGCCGAGCGAGCGAACCGCACAATCACGGAGGCAGCACGCGGGTTGCTCATTGAAGCCGGGCTACCCGACTATTTCTGGCCTGATGCGGTGCGGAGCGCGTGTGTGGCCAAGAACCGAGCCTTGACTCATGTGGGAGCAGACAAATGGGTGCCCTATGTGGAGTGGCTAGGAAGGAAGCCAAAGGTGGATATGCTTCGGGTGTTCGGGTGCATGTGCATGGCGCTCGTGCCTAAGCATCTTCGGCACAACAAGCTTGGTGCCAAGGCGGTGTGGGCCGTGCACTTGGGCATGGCTCAAAACAGCAAGGGATGGCTTCTTTGGGACCCATTCACCAAGAAGTTTGTGGTGAGCAGGGACTGCAAGTTCATGGAGAACTTCATGTACAAAGATTGGAAGGCGGAGAATGAGGCGAAGATAGGCGTGCGGTTTGGGGAGGTGAAGAGTTCCGGTTTGGAGCATGTGGAGCTGCCTTTGGAGCTGAGCAGCGGCAGCACAACCACGAGGCAATCTTCCCTTATGAATGGGGGAGAGGAGGCCAATGATGCAGAGGAAGAAGAGGAGGAGGTGCAGCAAGTGAGCGAGCGTGCACCGTCACTCCCTTCCCGTACTACGAGTGCTCTACGGATTCGAGCCACACCGCAGCAACGCCAAGGCCTTCAAGTCCCTGCAGCTGAGGAGGAAGGAAGGGGGAAGAGGAGAGTTCAACCCCCTAATAGGCTGACCTATGATGCGCCGGGAAAGCAGGGCAAGACAGCCCTGGCCGGAGCGGCAATGATGGTCGGAGACGACGAGGAGAGTGACTACGAGGAGTGTGCCTTCGCGTTCTTCTCTCCGGTGGAGATGCCGGGAGAACCAGCAACTCTCAAGGAGGCTTTGGAGAGTAGTGATGCTGAGGAGTGGAAGAAGGCCATGGAGAGTGAGCTGAAGAGCATCGAGGAGAATGACACGTTTGAATTGGTGGAGCTACCGGAGGGGCGTACGGCGATAACGTCCAAGTGGCTCTTCAAAATCAAGTCGGATGCCGACGGCAAGATCGAGCGCTACAAGTCTAGGCTTGTAGCCAAGGGGTACCAGCAGAAGGAGAAGGTGGACTTCAAGGAGCTGTTTGCCCCTGTGGTGAAGCCAACGATGCTGCGAACCCTATTCGCGGGAGCCGCCATAAAAGGATGGGTAGTAAAACAAATGGACATCGTAACGGCATTCCTTAACGGCATCCTTGAGGAGGAGATTTTTATGGCGCAGCCAGAGGGGTTTGATGATGGTAGTGGCAGAGTGTGGAAGCTGAAGAAGGCCCTCTATGGGCTGAAGCAGGCCCCTAGGCAATGGTACATGAAGCTGCGCGAAGTGTTGGAGGAGATCGGCTTCACTCCCTCAACGGCCGATCACTCTTTGTTCATGCTTGGCGAGGGGGAGCAGAGGAGCTTCATGGTGGTTTACGTGGATGACATTCTTATATTCTCACCCTCCTCTGACCTTGTGAAGGAGGTGATGCTGAAGCTGCATGACAAGTTCAAGTGCAAGTCCCTTGGTGACGTGAACTTCTACCTTGGGCTCCACATCAAACGAGACGTGGAGAAGCGGAGCATGCGAGTGCACCAACGGAAGTACCTGGAGGCGTTGGCTGCCAACTTTGGCCAGAGTGAAGGTCATGTGGCTACTCCCTTTTCCTCTGGGTTCAAGTGTGTGAAGGGACCACAGGAGGAGAGCGTTGGAGAAGAGGAGAGGCGCCGGTTTCACTCGTTGGTGGGCAGCCTCATGTATGCGGCGGTAAACACCCGACCGGACGTCGCGTTTGCTACCGGGCAGCTGGCTAGGGTTGTGCAATGCCCTAATGAGGAGCAGGTAGCAGCTGGAATGAGGGTGGCCAAGTATCTTGGCCAAACACCGACCGTTTGGCTGCAATACTCGGCGGCGGCACAAAGGCGCCAAAAGGGCGCGGATGGTGTTGAACCCGGGCGTTTGTTCCTCACCGCCTACTCGGATGCTTCATATGCATCGGAACCAGAGGACATGACAAGTGTGGGAGGCTTCATATGCTGTGTTGGTGGAGGCCCAACTGCTTGGGAGAGCAAGAAGCAGGTTGACCAGGCTTTGAGCTCGGTGGAGTCCGAGTACATGGCACTCTTCCGTGCCGTACGGGAGATTGTGTGGCAGCGGCGTTTGTTGGCTGAATTGGGGGAGGAGCAGCAAGGACCTACCCCACTCTACTGTGACAGTCAGGGTGCCATTGCTCTTGCTAAGAACCCTGTGTTGCATGGACTCATAAAGCACATGAGGGTGAAGTGGCATTGGACGAGGAGCATGGTGACCGCGGGTGAAGTTGAGTTGCGGTACGTGAAGACCACGGGGCAGCCGGCTGACATGATGACTAAGAGGCTGGTGAAGCAGCAGCATTGGAAGTGTTGCAAGCTGGCTGGGATGGCTCTGAACTAAGAGAGCAACATATCCTAAGGCCAACAATCCGAGGGGGAGTTTGTTGGTGCAACCCTACGGTTCGCACTCGGCTTGTTGTCCGTGTGCGTGCATGTGTGTGTGTATGAAATGGTATGAGGGCATGGGATAGTATATATTTCATGCTTATAATTGTGTGTGAATGTTGATTCATGATGTCGAGTGTGTGTGTCGAGTCAATAGCGAGTTATCGCTAGACGCGTGTTACGCGGTCGTTGGTGTCTCGCACGCGGTTTCTATTTTGTCGTGCGCGGTTTCTATTTTGTCCTGTGTCGAACGTTCAGCGTGTCGCAGGTGTGTGTAGAAGACCCATCAAGAACTCAAGGATGAGTTTGTGATGAAGAACCCGAGCCTTGGTGTCAAGCCAGAAGTGATTTCGAAGCTCGCCAAAAGGGTGCACCTCAAGATATTGAAGATAGTTACATTACTTTGTGTAGTGTAACATTTCACTTGGTGTAGGCCCTAGTGAAGGGTAGTTTCGAGACCCTTCGTGGTTGGGGACAGTGTGGCACGGTTCCACATCACTGTACCTCGGCTCTTGGGGTTTGTAAGAGCTGGGAGTCATTCCCAACTCGTAACTCTTCCTAACTCTTCCTATCTTGTGTTCTAAGACTATGTTGCTGCCATAGTGCCGTTCATTCAAACCAACGCAGTGTCGTCAATACTTGGTCAAATCGTGCGATCTAAATTGCCCAGTATAGGCGAGAATAAGATGCTCCAGATCCAAGTTGAATCAAGTCATTTGATGTTGTGACCAGAACGCTATGAACGTTTGAAGCCGCTGTGCAGAAATCCGACTGTGCACTCTATCTTTCGTTTTAGGCACATTGGAGCCTACTGTGACTATAACACCCTCACCCTACTGTTCGCGCTGCTAGTCTACTGCTGTCATGGCTACCCCTAGTGTCCTCGCTTTTGACGCTGAGGGTCGGGCCACTGACTTTGACGTCTGGATAGATGACCTGCAGCTTTTCTTAGAGTGCGATAGGGCGGACGGTCTCTCTCTCTTTGACCTCACCTCTGGTGCCTCTCCTGCCCCTACTGCTGATGCTGAGGCCACTGTCCGCTCACAGTGGGCCACGCGCGATGCTGCTTCACGTCTTGCTGTGCGTCGCCACCTGCCTACCTCTGAGCGTGCGCACTTTAGCCAGTACAAGAGTGCTCAGACCTTGTACGACGCTGTAGTTGCACGCTACTCCTCCCCTGCCACTGCTACACTGAGCCGCCTCATGCTACCGTACCTCTTCCCTGACCTTGCTGCCTTTCCCACAGTCCCTGACCTCATTACGCACCTCCGCACTAGTGACACTCGCTACCGCGCTGCGCTTCCTGCTGATTTCTGCGCAAAGAACCCCCCCCCCCCATGTACATCACTCTCTACTACATAGTCACCCGCCTCCCTGACTCCCTTCGCGTAGTCAGGGACCACTTTCTCTCATTCTGTCCCACCACTCTCACTGTTGACCTCCTCGAGAAGGCCCTCCTAGCAGCGGAGAAGAGCATAGTCGCTGTAGGGGCCTCTCGTGGTGACCCGCGCACCACCATCTTTGAGGGGTGTTCTCCCTCCCCTCTTTTGCCCTCTGTTGCCTCTACTGCTGTGGCCGACCTCGTTGGTCTGGAGTCGGTCGGTGTGGCGTCTACCCCTAGTGGGAAGCGTCGCTCTGGCAAGGGCAAGGGGGGCAGGGGCGCTGGAGGAGCTAGCGTGGGCGGTGGAGGCGGCAGTGGAGGCAGTGGAGGGGGTAGGGGTGGTGGTGGGAGTGGTGGCGGGGGTGGAGGTGTCGGCGGCGGCAGTGGAGGCGGAGGCGGCGGCGGCGGTGGCAGTGGGAGCGGAGGTGGTGGAGGTGGCGGAGGTGGAGGAGGCGGTGGCGGAGGAGGAGGAGGAGGAGGAGGAGGAGGAGGAGGAGGAGGAGGAGGAGGAGGAGGAGGAGGAGGAGGAGGAGGAGGAGGAGAAGGAGGAGGAGGAGGAGGTCGTGGCTCTTCGCAAAGGAGTGGCTCCGGTGGTGGTCAGCGCCAGCAGCAGCAGCGAAGTCGCGAGACCCTGTCCCCTCAGCAGCTCCGTGAGTGGTACGCTGCACGCCAGCGGGGTGGGGGTACTAGTCCGTGCACCTACGTCCTGCGCACCGGCGACCGTGCGGGTGAGCAGTGTGCGGGTGCGCACCCCACCCAGCGCTGCTTTGGCCGCCTGACGGACGCTAGGCGTCACCAGTTCCCTGAGGCCTCTGAGATCCCTCGCTGGGGCGAGCTGTCTAGAGCAGGGGTAGCTATTTTTGACCTTGACTTTGATGCTATTCTTGCTACTATGTATACTGTGTCTATTAGTGAGGAGGGTGACTGTTGCCGGTGTTTCCCGCCCGACCCGGGCATTGCGACTGCTGCTCTAGGTGCTAGTGAGGCTGCTGCTCTTGGTGCTAGCGAGGCTGCTGCTCTAGGTGCTAGTGCGTCTGCTTCCTCCGGTACTGGTGAGTCTGCCCTCTCAGGTACTGGGTCGGCTTCGGCCTCCCACACCTTCACACTTGACTCAGGGGCTTCTCGCTCCTTCTTTCGAGACCGCACCACACTCACGCCGCTTGGTCAGCCAGTTGTAGTCTCCCTGCCAGACCCCTCTGGGGGTCTTGTCCTTGCTCACTTCTCCACTCTGCTCCCGTGTCCGGCGGCCCCCTCTGGCTTCTTGTCTGGTCTTTACCTCCCACGTTCTTTACGAACTTGGTGAGTGGTGTTGACCTACAGGATGCGGGGGCTCACCAGTTCACTCCTGCGAGTCAGCGGGTGACCCACTCCACGGACGCTCGGACAGGCCGACACCTGGCCACGTTTACACGTCGGCCGGGGTCGAGCCTGTACACACTGACCACTGCGTCTCCTCCAGTCCCTACGTCTGGTCAGGTAGCTGCGTCGGGTCAGGTGTTAGCTGCAGCGTCCAGGTCTGGTCTTGAGTCTGCCCCCTGCTCGTGTCACCTCCTGTCTCACGAGACTCTCCTCTGGCACCACCGCCTTGGTCACCCCTCCCTGCTTCGTCTCTGAAGCATGGCCTCCCGTGTCCTTGTCTCTGGTCTTCCCCGGTCCCTCCCTCCCCTTCCTCCGGGGCCTGGCCCTATCTGCGTCCCCTGTGTCGAGGGGCGGCAGCGGGCTGCCCCTCACTCCTCCCAGTTTCCTCCGACAGAGGACCCGCTGCAGACGCTTCACATGGACGTGTGGGGCCCAGCCCGCGTCCGTGGACAGGGTCACGAGCGCTAATTCCTGCTGGTGGTTGACGACTACTCGCGTTACACCACAGTCTTCCCCTTGCGTAGCAAGGGTGATGTCACTGAGGTGTTGATCGACTGGATCCGCGCAGCTCGTCTCCAGCTCAGGCGGAGCTTCGGCTCGGACTTTCCTATTCTACGTCTGCACTCTGACAGAGGCGGGGAGTTCTCCTCTGGCCTTATGCGAGCCTACTATCGTCCACGAGGCATCCGCCAGACCTTCACGCTTCCAGACTCTCGACAGCAAAATGGGATTGCTGAGCGCCGCATTGGCATGGTCATGGACGTCGCCCGTACGTCCATGATGCATGCGGCTGTCCCCCATTTTCTGTGGCCGTTTGCGGTCCGGTACGCGGCGCATCAGATCAACCTTCACCCCAGGGTCTCCATGCCAGAGACCTCCCCAGCTTTGCTGTGGACGGGGAAGGTTGGCGATGCGTCTGCGTTCCGTGTCTTGGGATCTCGGGCGTTTGTCCGCGACTTGTCTGTGGACAAGCTGTCCCCTTGTGCTGCTCCTTGCGTCTTCCTGGGTTTCCCCCCTGACGCGCCAGGGTGGCAGTTCTACCACCCCACCTCTCGCCGTGTTCTGTCCTCCCCGGACGTCACGTTCGACGAGTCAGTCCCCTACTACCGCCTCTTCCCCTACCGCACTCCGTCCCTCCCCCTGCCACCGCTCTACCTTGTGCCAGGTCCCCCCCCGGTAGACCCCCTCCCCCCTCAGGGTCCTGCCCCTTCAGGTGTGTCCCAGGTAGACGTTGTTGAGCCTGTCGAGGTCGCTGGTGACTCTGGTGCTGCTGAGGGTGTTGAGCCTGAGGGTGCTGACTCTGGGGGTGCTGAGCGCGTGGGTGCTACACCTGGGGGTGCTGAGCCTGAGGGTACTACGACTGGAGGTGCTGAGCCTAAGGGTGCTGAGTCTGGGGGTGCTGAGCCTGGGGGTGCTACGCTTGGGGGTGCTAGGCCTGGGGGTGCTACGCATGGAGGTGGTGAGCCTGGGGGTGCGGAGCTTGAGGGAGCTGGGCCTGCTGGTGCTGTGCCTGGCGGTTCTCCGGGTGCTTCTTCTCGCCGGGAGCCACTCTCTCCACAGGAGCTGCGTGAGTGGTTTGCCCGGCGCTGGAGGCGAGCTACTGGAGCTAGAGGTGCTGCGGGTACTAGAGGTTCTGTTGCTGCTGAGGGAGCTGGTGCCATGGGTCCCGGAGGTGCTAGTACTGGGAGTCCTAGAGCTGCTAGACCTACGGGTACTTGTGAAGCTGGAGCTGCTGCGGGTGTTGGCGCGGAGGCTACTGCTGTTGGTCCTGGAGGCGGTCCTGCTGGGGGTACTACTGGTGCTGCTGGGGGTACTGGAGCTGGAGCTGCTACTGGTGCTGGTGCTGCCACTAGGGGTGCTGGTGGTGTCCCTGCTGTGTCTGGAGTCGCCGCGCGGCCTCGGCCGTACTTCGTTCCGCTCCTTCAATAGGTTCTTGGTCTCCCGTCCTCTACTAGTCCTCCTCCTCCCTTAGAGTGTCCACAGCCTGTCCCGTCGCAGTTACAGTTACAGCCGGCCTCCCCACTGCTTGCTCCATCTCCCGACACTGGTCCTACTGGAGGTCTTGCTGACCGTCGTGAGCCTGCGTCTCGCCCTGCGTCGCCTGTCCGTGCTGCTCGCACTAGTGGTCGCGGTTCGCGTCAGCGTCCTCCTCCTGTCCCTGGCACGCACCGGATGTCCCTGCGTCCGTCCACTGCTCCTCTCCGTGCCCCTTTGCCTTCTCCTCCTGAGTCTTCTCTTCCTGCTCTTGCCGACCCGGAGTCGGACTCTCTTCGTGCTGCCAGTCCTACTGTCACGCGTCTCCTTGCTACTGTTGTCACTGACCCTTCCTTTGAGTCCACTGCTGCGTCTGCCCTAGTTGCTGAGCTCGTCGACTTCGCTGCTCGCTGTCGCCTAGACTACGCCGCCAGTCTTGTTGCTGAGTCTGAGTCTGTCTGTCCTCCGTCCGTCGGGGGTGAGTGTGCCCTTGGCACGGACGTCCTTGAGGACAGGCAGGAGGAGTTCCAGTGCTTGGCTGCTGCTTCACCTCATCTCGTGTCCGTACTGCTTACCCCTGAGGGAGACCCGGATGCACTTGACATCCCGACTCCGCGCTCTTACGCGGAGGCCGTAGAGGGTCCCTACTCCTCTCAGTGGCAGGCAGCTATGGACGCAGAGATGGCTTCCTGGAAGTCCACAGGCACCTACGTATACGACGTTCCCCCGCCTTGGGCGAACATCGTTAGTGGCATGTGGATTTTGAGGGTGAAGCGACCGCCGGGTTCTCCGCTTGTCTTCAAGGCGCGTTACGTGGCTCGTGACTTCAGTCAGCGGCAGGGAGTTGACTACTTTCAGACCTTCTCTCCCACCCCGAAGATGACCACTCTTCGGGTACTGCTGAACATAGCTGCTCACCGTGACTACGAGCTACACTTTCTTGACTTCAGCACTGCTTTCTTGCAGGGCAGCCTGCACGAGGAGATCTGGCTGCGTCGCCCACCTGGTTTCACTGGGTCTTTTCCTCCTGGCACCCAGTGGAGCCTCCGGCGGCTAGTCTACGGTCTCCGCCAGGCACCGCGTCAGTGGCACGACACACTGAGGACTACACTTGCGGCTCTTGGGTTTGCTCCCTCTACTGCCGACCCGTCGCTGTATCTGCGCACCGACACTTCTTTGCCGCCGCTCTACATCCTCGTGTACGTCGACGACTTGGTCTTTGCCACAGCTGACACTGCTGGACTCGCCCACGTGAAGTGCGAGCTGCAGAAGAGACACACGTGCACAGACCTGGGTGAACTGCGCAGCTACCTTGGCTTGCAGATCACTCGGGACAGAGCACGCCGCACCATTACCCTGACTCAGTCACACATGGTGCAGCAGGTCCTTCAGCACTTCGGCTTCACGTACTCCTCGCCTCAGGCCACTCCTCTGCCTACTCGCCACTCGCTCTCAGCTCTGCCTTCGGATGAGTCCGTAGAGTCGAGTGGCCCGTACCCAGAGCTTGTTGGCTGCCTCATGTACCTGATGACATGCACTCGACCTGACCTTACATACCCTCTTAGCATTCTTGCACGCTATGTTGCTCCTGGAAAACACAGACCGGAGCACATGGCTGCAGCAAAGAGGGTGTTGCGCTACTTGTGCAGTACGTCGGGCATGGGGCTTGTGCTTGGAGGGCAGAGTCCAGTGGTCCTTACTGGGCACGCAGACGCTTCTTGGGCTGACGACCAGGCTACGCAGCGGTCGTCACAGGGTTACACCTTCAGCCTTGGTTCCGGCTCTGTTTTGTGGCGGGCTACTCGCTCGTCTTCTGTTCTTAGCTCCAGTTGTGAGGCTGAGATCTACGCAGGAGCCATGGCTGCACAGGAGCTTCGCTGGCTCACCTACCTGCTGACTGACCTCGGAGAGCCGCCTCGTTCTCCTCCAGTGCTGTACGTAGACAACAAGGCCATGCTGGCCTTGTGTCGGGAGCAGCGACTGGAGCACAGAACGAAGCACATTGCTCTCTGCTACTTTCTTGCTCGTGAGTTGCAGCAGCGTGGTCAGCTGCGTCTTGCGTACGTGGCCTCTGAGGCAAACACTGCTGATATCTTCACCAAGGCGCTTGCACCTTGTGACCATCAGCGCTTTTGTACTCAGCTGGGCCTTGTGCCCACCTTGCCTCACTTGCTCACCTCTTGACCTTGCTTGTACTGTTACATATACATATACCTGCTCTTGCTTGTCTAGCCTTTTTATATATATGTACTCCTACATGTGAAGTGGCCTTGTGGCCTTGAACTTGTGCTCGGAATGTGTGGTGACTTTGTGATCCACCCTGAGCTTGCTTTGCTTTGCTTTGCTTGACTGGTCTTGTGACCCCTTGTTCTCCCCCACTTTGCCTATGGGGGTGTGTCAGAACATTATAGCTCATGCATATTGTGTAGGCTATAGTGGGGTAGCCCATAAGGGGTACAACCCAATTAGGGCTAGTACTTGTACCCAATTCATTCATAGTTCATTCATTCTTGTTTCTTCTCATCCTCCATAGTATTTTGACGCTTTGTCTCTGCCATGCTCTGCGTCTCTCGGTATGCGAATACCTACGACGCTGCCTCCTCGTCATGCTGCCCCTCTTCCTCTGCGATGATGTGCCCCTCAGCACCCGCCGTCTCCCATCCCTCTGTCTGTATCATTTTATTCCCATCTGAACCCTCCTCTCCATCTGGCTTCCTACGTGCGTCTGCCTCAGCCTGCTTCTGCTCCTCGGCCTCTGCCATCTTCTGCGCCTCACCCTCCGCCTTCTGCCGCGCCTCTACAACAGCCTTCTTCCGCGCTTCTGCCCGAGCCAGTTGTAGCGCCTCTTCCGCAGCCTGTTTCTGCTCCTCTGCCTCCGCCTTCTGCCGCGCCGCTGCTTCTGCCTTATCCCGCGCCTCTCCTTCCTTATGTGCGTCTGCCTCCTCCATATGCAGCGGCGCTGCCTTATCCTTCTGGCTTGCCGCTGCGTCTGATTCCTTGTGCGCCTCTGCCTCAACCATCTTCGGCGCCGCACCCTCCTCCTTCTGCTGCGCCACTGCCTCTGATTCCTTGTGCGCCTTTGCCTCAACCATCTTCGGCGCCGCACCCTCCTCCTTCTGCTGCGCCGCTGCCTCTAATTCCTTCTGCGCCTCTGCCTCAACCATCTTCGGCGCCGCACCCTCCTCCTTCTGCTGCGCCGCTGCCTCTGATTCCTTCTGCGCCTCTGCCTCAACCATCTTCGGCGCCGCACCCTCCTCCTTCTGCTGCGTCGCTGCCTCTGATTCCTTCTGCGCCTCTGCCTCAACCATCCTGGGCGCCGCACCCTCATCCTTCTGCTGCGCTGCTGCCGCTGATTCCTTATGTGCGTCTGCCTCATCATTCTGCTGCGCCGCTGCCTCATCCTTCTGGCTCGCCGTTGCCTCTGATTCCTTCTGCGCCACTGCCTCCACCACCTGTAGCTCGACTGCCTCCGACGTCAGCTCTCCTGCTGCACCCGCTTCTTTACGCGCGACTGCCTCCGCACTCTTGACCGCCTCTGCACCCACCTTCTGCTGCGCCGCAGCCTCTGCTTCCTTTGGCGCCCCGTCCTCTGCCGTAAGTGCCGCCTCTGCATCGACAAACCGATGGGCCGCATCCTCTGCTTTCTGGTGCGCCTCTACCTCCACCATCTTATGAGCCTTTGCACCCGCGTTGCTCTGCGCCTTCTTTTTCACCTCTCCCGAATTCTCTGGCACGTCGACGTCCCCTCTCCGGGCCTCTTCAGCCGCCTTCCGCTTTACGCTGGGCAAGCAAACTTTCACGTATCCCCTATCCTCCTCGATATGCTGCCGCACATTGCTGGCGAGCTCCTCTCCTGCCACTCCCACGTGTGCCCTTGCAGCGGCTCGTGCCCCACGCTCCCATGCTTCACGTATGTCTCCTGTTCCCGGGAAAGGGACGATAGGATCGATGTCGCCATCACGGCGCCGTTGCCTCTCTTCAGCCCGTCTCCTCTTGGCTTCTGCTTCGGCCATCCGCTTATCATCAGCCGCCTTCCTCCACTGCTCCTCTGCCTGTTCGACCTGACTTGGCAGCTGTGGATCTTCTACACCCTCCTCGCCTTCATCTGCTACACTTGCCAAGTCGGTCTCCGTCCGTGCTTCGCGTTCCGGCGGCCTCCTAACCCGATCAGCAAACCTGAGCTGCCTAACTCCAGACCTAACACGCTCGTCCGCACGGGCTGACCTTGATGTCGGGCCACTCAGTAGTGCACCCCCTGGTGCAGGTCGGCGGGAATATGAAATTTCCCCCACTCTTGGATTTGCGTCCCGGTTTGCGGCAGGTACGTCTCTCTGTCCCTCTACCGCTTCGGATCTGTTCTGTGCCGCCGGCTCCATGGTATTCCCGGACCGTTCCGGTGCGCTCTCCACCACTCGAGCCTCATGGGTTGTCATGACTGCATCCGGGGCGGGACGAAGCTGGACTCCTTGCAGGTCGAAGAAGGCCCTGCAGGTCGACTCTAGCATACTCCGAAATTCTTTCGCGCTGTTTTTCCCCTTCCCTAAGGCGATCATCGGCTCTGCAGTTTGAATCGACATGACATCCCCCCATTTGTCCAGCAACTTGCTGAACAGATGGGTAACGTGCAGCCCGGAACCCACTTGCCTCTGTCCCTGAACCTTGTTGATCTGCAACATGTGCGTGAAAAGGTGGTTGTCAGACACTCCCATAACATTTTACAAGCTTAATATCATACAACGCTTAAATCATAAAAATAGAGGCTCCTTACCCTGCCTTCCTCCAGAATCAGTTCCTCTAGGCGATCCCTCAAATCTTTCTGCACCGCTTCGGCGTGGCTGCCAGAGACCCTGCGACCTCGGCTGTATTCCACATCTAGTTGTCGAATAAGCCAGCTGCAGGGCAAGGGGGTCGCAAATAATCAATAACATGCGTCCATACAAACCGCACATCTGATTAAGGAGTGACACTTACTCGAACACCTCCTTGGCATGGTCGCTGTGGCGATGGGTTGGGATTGGAGATTTAGGGTCGAAGTGTAGCACACGCGTACGGTACTCTCCGCGGGGATGTGCTAACAAATCTTGCGGGTTCATCAGCACCATGAGACTGATCGCCGTCGAGTGAACAACAGGATCTCTGCGGTACATCGAAGTTTGGATTAACAAGATAAGCTGGTGTCATCGACAGACGTTGCGAATCCATGTCAAGAAACTCACTCTAATATCATGGGTATCAAAACCATCTGGTAGTCCAACAGCGATCGATGTTCGCTGCCACAATTGGGGACACGCGGGACGGCAGACCTCAAACGCCGATGCTCGGTAGGAGCCAGAATCTTTATGTCCCTGCGAACGCGAGGATCTCCGATCTTGTCCTTGGCAACCTCCCTGCATCCAAGCCGACATGTCGCAGAGGTAAGAAGATAGCAGGTGCGTGTCTAAAAATACAAGGGTTTAACGTGCCGATGAAGTCGGCGTGCGCTACAAACCGCGCTTGGATACATACACAAGGCCGAAAAGTAACAACGCCTCGTTCCACTCTTCCTGACGAGCGATTAACATTTCATAAGACTCCCGCCCTAGTCGTACAGACAATCCGCAGCCATCTGTGATTAACTGGGACGACATCGCGTAAGTAAGCCAGAAGATGGCAGGTAGCTATACGGTTACTACCATACACTGTCCGCCTGCAGGATTTGAGGCCGACACTAGAATGAGAGGGAAGCTTGTGAGGAGGCTAGTTGTGGAACCAAGACTCAGATTGGAATGGCGAGAATGACCTTGAGCTTTGGTGCACCCACCCTGATAACAACTTCTGCTTCGCTGGTAGAATTGGTTGTGCTCTCGTCCTCACAAAAGGTGGGAAAGGCTTTGCTACAAACGCCAGGCGTAGTAAGACTTTTCTGCCCCCTACATCAAAATATTAGGCTTCTCACCATTTCCCTTCGAACATCTGCGAACTACTCTTTGCATCCTTCTGCAGTGATTGGCCTATTTGTCACCAGATTGTTCTCCTAAATGTTCTACTTCAGTTGCTGGTTGGTTGATTGCCAACCTTATATGCCATGTAAGCATATTGCATGTTCTGCGGTGCATTGCATGGTCTCAGCTTTGCCTCGACCTAGTACGAAATGGTGACGGGCAGCCCCTAAAAAAAAAGAAAGGTGCCCTGTGACAGGTTCATGACAGGCTGCCTAGTATAACTATCCCATCCGCATGGTTCCCTCTGCAACGTGGAAATAGAGCAGTCTTTGCGACCTGTCACACGTGTCAGAAACCGAATGACCGTGTACATCCCACAGTGCCGCTATAGGGGTACTCGCGTAGCACGTACAGTGCTAGTTTTTGTAACCCATAAAACAAACACAAGCATGAACTTTGCATGATTAGCACACCCAATTCTAAAACGGATAATCCTATAAGTGTGAGATGAGTGCCCTATCAATAAGGGCTCATTAGCACCCGTATAACAATGGCATTTAAATACAAAACAAATGTTGTACATTTCAAAAAAGTGATCTGCTCCCGCCTGCAGAGAAGAGCATGAAAAACATATCAAACCTCTACGAAATGAGATGAATTTCATAGGGGAGTCTGGAATATGTGTGATGAGAGTCCCCTATGAAAATCAGATCATTTGCCTAAGGATAAGTGGGTGATTTCTGTTGCAACCTGATTCCAGGCAATTCTGCACAGAATTCTGCAGACTGCTGCACAACAAGGCTTAAAAACCATATCAAACCTTGGGCAAATGAGGTGAATTTCAGGTGGGGGTCTTGAATATGTGTGGTGAGAGTCCTCTATATAAATCAGCTCATTTTCCCAAGGAGAAGTGGGTGATTTCAATTGCAACCTGATTCAAGGCAATTCTGCACAGAATTCTGCAGACTGCTGCACAACAAGGCTTAAAAACCATATCAAACCTTGGAAAATACGATGAATTTCAAATGGGAGTCTGGAATATGTGTGACAAGAGTCCCCTATAAATATCAGCTCATTTGCCCAACGATAAGTGGGTGATTTCAATTGCAACCTGATTCAAGGCAATTCTGCACATAATTCTGCAGACTGCTGCACAACAAGGCTTAAAAACCATATCAAACCTTCGGCAAATGAGATGAATTTCAGGTGGGGGTCTTTAATATGTGTGGTGAGAGTCCCCTATAAAAATCCGCTCATTTGCCTAAGGAGAAGTGGGTGATTTCAATTGCAACCTGATTCAAGGCAATTCTGCACAGAGTTCTGCAGACTGCTGCACAACAAGGCTTAAAAACCATATCAAACCTTGGGAAAATACGATGAATTTCAGAGGGGAGTCTGGAATATGTGTGATGAGAGTCCCCTATAAACATCAGCTCATTTTCCTAAGGAGAAGTGGGTGATTTCAATTGCAACCTGATTCCAGGCAATTCTGCACAGAATTCTGCAGACTGCTGCACAACAAGGCTTAAAAACCATATCAAACCTTGGGCAAATGAGATGAACTTCAGAGGGAAGTCTGGGATATGTGTGATGAGTTTCCCCTATGAAAATCAGATCATTTGCCCAAGGCAAAGTGGTTGATTTCACAAGAAACATGGTTCCAGGCATTTCTGCACAGAATTCTGCACCCGCCTGCAGAATATAACATGAAAAGCATGGCAAACCTTGATGAAATGAAGTGAAAACTGGATGGGAATTAGTACTAGGTGTGATGACAGTGCTCTATCAAAATGGGCTCATTTGCCCAGGGAGAAGTGGGTGATTTCACCTGACACATCACACCAGGCAACTCAGCACTAACTTCCTTGCAAGAAAAAGTCCACCAAATCAGTTTGCATAGAGCTGAAAATGTTCAGGGGGGCTGGAACAGGTGTCATAACACTAACAATGCAAAAAAATATGGTCACCACATAAGACATGTGTGTGATGCCCAGAGAATGACTTTACATGTGCTATGAGCAACCTTAGTTGACCCAAAAGTGTTAAAATGTAACAAATTTGACAAAATAACAAACTCATGCCCGCTGGTAGAGGACATCAAGGAGATGCTGGAAATCCATATTTGTGTGCAAATGACCAACAAATTATGGAGTTATGAGCCAAACCATATAGAATTTTGACTTGGCCATTTTGACATTCTGCTTGTCAGAATTACACCATAGTGTCAACAACAAAGTTTATATACAAATACTGTAGAACAGTGGTTGCGACGTCGCTTTCGTGCGACCGTCCATAATCCAAACCGGTAGTGTAACCACTCTTGCGCCCATTTCGTTGCGCCATCAGGTGGTTTGGATTTTGTAAGGAAAACGCATGGAGCGCGCGTGCGGTAGTTGGCATCACCCCCCCGCTTGCATCGCATCTCCGCCGTTGACTACAGCGACTGGGCTGGCGAAGACATTTCAGGAAGGTGTCAGAGTCTGCTGGGCCTGTTCCGATATTGCGAATAACTAAGGTACATACTGTAAATCCAAACTGTTGTATCTCAATATAGCACAACCGTTTTTTTTACCAAGCATGCACAAGCTATAACATGAACAAACATGACATTCAGATGAAATAACATCTCATAATGATTTGCATATCCATATCCATGCACAAAGCTTCAAGGCCTACCAAAATACCATATTGTATGTCTACAGTGGAGATTGATCGTTGCCTATCAAGACGTGGCTAGGCAGCAAGAACATATCGAAGGTCAATCTTCGAATGACATCCTGCAGTTCCAGAAGGCGTGTGCGTGCGCCTGTGGGCTCACTATATGCAAAACTCTGCCAGCAGTTGTTGTGACATGGTGGCTTGCACGGTAGCAGTGGCTGTTGTGCTGGTGCTTGGCAGCGAGGGAAGTGCGGCAGCAAGCAGGAGCGATCGTTGCCCGCATGGGCGGGATGGGGTGCCCTCCTGAGTGCGTTGGCGCAAGTCTATTGCTGCTCAGAGGCTGTTGGCACCAGCATTGTCTTGGTGATGCTGACGTCTGCAATCCACGTAGTGCGCTCTACACCAGTGAGGTCCAACCGTGCTGGTTGGGGCATATGTGTGACCATCAGCATGGGACTCTCCTGCTGGTGGGCCAAAGCGCAGAATGCAGTGCCTGCTGCACTGGGTGCATGCACGTGCACGGAGTGCAGGTCAGGTGGTACGACAGCTCGCCCACCACCCAGTGCTTCTGTTAGTGGCTAAGGGTCCTGCCAAACCGATACTCCTGCTGCACCTCCAGCGTAAACTGCCATCCGTTTGTCAAACAGCCTGCTGTGCCGGGTGGATGCGCATTTCCTGCAGGTGGTGCGACAGCTCTCCCACCACCCAGTACTTCTCAGCATCACTCAGGGTCGTGCCAAACCTGTAATCCTGCTGCTGCTCCACAAACACACACACCAGATTTGGCGGCTTGGCCACTGGTTGATACCCTGCCCCGTGCATTGGCGCGGACGGCAGCGTCGGTGGCGAATCCAAGAGTTGCACCTCGATGGCTTGTAACTGTGATGTGTTGCCGCACTGCTCAATGACCCTGTTTGGCCACCTGCTGGTGATGCTGAAGCGATCCGGCGACAGCAGAATGGTTTCGGATCGAAGAGCTGGTCTGATGCTGAGACGGGTGCGCCGTGAGCAGCACGGGAATGGATGGTGGGAGGCCGATGGAGGGGGAGAGTAGGTGTGGATGTGGAAATCTGGAAGCTGAAGCTAGGAAAATCTGGACGACGGATTGTGTGTTGAAGGGCTTGCATGCTAAGTGGGTATACAAGATGCAGCATCATATTGCCGATTTGACATGCTACGCGTACCGCGTTGCTAGAGGCGGCCTCAAAGGGAGTGGGAGTTGGAGGTACCCACCAGATGAAAATGCCGAGTGCGATGGGCAAGGAGATCGCGACGTTCACTGCTACCACGAACTGTGAGGGAGGGTGGGGAGGGATGAGAGGGAGGGCGGGGAAGCGAGCAGGGAGTGGCCAGACAGGAGGAGATTGGAGGCAGGAATAGGTGGGAAAGGGAGGAGCTCGGCTGAAAATAAATGCGAGGGGAGGGGCTTGCATGGGAAAGGAGCAACTGAGCAAATATTGTTAGTACAACGGAAATGACCAGAGATACTTACTGAGTGAGAAAATCTGCTTCTTTGGAAAGAGCCTGAGAAGATTGGTTCACTGACAAGGAGTGAGAGCAATGGCTCACTAGAAGGAGGGCGGTGAGCACGACGATGCACCGAGCTGACGCGGGTATTCGCACCTCCAGCGCCCCGCCCTCCACCCGTGATATCACCTGCGCGCCGCGGAACCACGTAGGGGGGAGTCCAGTGCAATGCCATGTCAGAATTCAAGTACCGTGCCCGTCATACGTCAAGCCGCGCCACGTCAGTCGTCAGCTGGGACCAAGACTGCGGTATGGCGCGTTGATCATAACAAGGAGGCTTTCTTGAGCATAGTTTTCTTCAGAAAGGAGTACAGGAAAAACGGGAAAGGCAGCGAAGAGAGAGAAATGCCGATAATACCTAGCGAGTGCCGCATCCTAAAGCCGCGGTAGTAGAGCCACAAAGGGTCCCACACAAAGATCGATATCACGACATTGCTAAAAGCGCATACCACGCGACTTTGATCGGGTTTGGCGCAACGAGCAGGCGACGGCGACGGTTCGGAAATGCCCTTCCCGGCAGGTGGAGCATCAGCGGCGCTTATCGGAGGCGCACGCTCCGATTCGGCTCGCTCAAGCGCTGTACCCGCCGCCTCTTGCGGCTTTTCTTGCGCCGTGCTCCCCGGGTTAGCTGTCATTGCGGTTCTAATTTTCGTCCTACTAGCGGCCTGGTCGGCGCGGTCGCACCGCCTCTAGTGGAGGGGGAACTTCGATGGTGTCGCTTATAGCACGTAATGTTTGCTGTGAAATGGCGGCGGGGTGCGGACAATGGGGATTTGTGGCGGCGCTAGTGGTATTTGTGCATCTGCGGTGTCAGCATCGTCGGTTGGTGAGCGGGAGAAAGGAAGGAAGGCGGGGGTGGGGCACAGCCGTTTCCGCCACTCCCGTGTTCTAGCTGAAAACGCAACAATCACGAGGTAGTTGGCTTGGCGCCACATCATTCCCTCTAACGTTGACTAGAGCGACCTGACTCGCCAAGACACTTCCGGAAAGAGGATGGTGCATTGGAATGGAACCGCTGGGCGTATGTTGAGAAAGAATGAAATATAAAAATCTATGGGTACACAAATACCAAGTGTTGTTTCACAATAAAACACAAACCTGGTCCTTCAACCAACCAAGCATGCAAACACCAAAATACGCACACGAACATTATATCCATAGTGGAATTTGAGTCACTGCTCCTCAAGATGGGGTTGGGCCACCACAACATCGCCAAGCTACGGTAAGTCTCACGATGATAGTGTGGTAGGGTGGGATGTGTTGGGCTGAGAAAAGCCCTTAGGATCTTTGCAGGGGTGAACTCTGGGTAAGACTGATGTAATAGCGGAAGCGTTTAATGAAGTACTGTGAACCACCTTGTGTGAGTAGATCTGTACTGTGGATGCCCGATTGATCCTGGAGAGGGTTACAGGCGCGTTCGCTTGGGGGGTTATGGGCGCACTGACCCGCAACTGAATCAAGCCCTTTTATCCCAATGGTCTAGTGGTTGGGATTCTGACACCTTGCGCTAGTATGTGAGGGCAAAGTAGATTGATTAAAGCAAGGAGATACAAGATTATATAAGAGTACAAGGAATACGAAGAGATGCAGTTATAACTACTTTACTGTTGCTGTTGCGGTTCGATACAGTGACGACTCGGGCAACTGCTCTGTAGCGAGTCAGTTGTGTGTCCTTGCTGTCGCGCTGTATTTGTCAGGTCAAAGGTCGCTGACCTTTGACTTTCGCGTAACCTCCAACAGTTACTTTCAACCTCCGAGGGTTGACTCGCCGGTGCTTCGATATGCTTCGCTTCGTTCATGCCTTAGTGTTTCGACACGACAGAGGCGCTTAAGATAGATTGTTTCCAACAGGATGCCCCTAAGTGTGTTGATGCGAGTCTCTTGCACCTTGCTACCCAGAGGCCGTGGGCACCAGCGTTGTCTTGTACCGATAGATGCTGGGGGCTGCCAAGGTTCTCGTATGGGCTACTCTGGTCGAGGTCCCACTGTGCGTTGTGAGCAGCGCAAAACTCATCCCATGGAAAGGGACTCCGCTGCTAGTGGGCCGAAGGATGGAGTGTAAGCAGCTGATCTACAGAGACTATCTTCAAATCAAACCCTGGGAAGCAGAAGTGTTCAAGGAGCGACTTCTATTCAATGTCAGCTCAAAATAGCTTCAGGAGCATGGGATCTAAAACAGGTTGTGGGATTTCTATGTGACCGGACCAAATCCTAAGTGTAGTATAATACAGCTATGGTCTACACGGCATGCTGTGCTGAGTGCATGCACACGCATGGAGTGCAGGTGGTATGACAGCTCGCCCACCACCCAACACTGCTCTGCAACTCTCAAGGTCTGCAGGTTGTGAGATTCCTGCTGTACTGCCAGCTTACATTACATGCTATCCATCATACATTCTGCTGTGCCAGGTGCAAGCGCACGCTCTGCAGGTAATACGCCAGTTCACCCACCACCCAGTACTTCTCCGCATCACTCAGGTTCGCACCGAACCTATGCACTGTGCCCGGCAGCGCAAACACACACACAAGCTCCGGAGGCTCTGCTGGTGTCTCCCGCGCGCGGGCATTGGCGGTGGCGGCAGCAGCTGCGGCGGGACCACGCCGGGCAGTGGGTGCGCTTCCACTGGCGGCAGCAGGAGCGGCTGCAGTGGGGGGAGTAGGACCCGGGACGGGAATGCCGGGAGCCGTTGTGGATTGCGGGGGGTGCAGCAGGCGCGGAGCGTTGCGATCGACGACGAGGATGGAGTGGACGAGGTGCGTGCTGCCCTCGCGCTTCTTGGACACGCCGTAGCGCGTGTGCACGATGGAGAAGGCGTCGGGGCCCAGCGTGACGCTCTCCCTGCGCGTCGCCACGCCCACCCACGAGATGGTGGATCTGAGAGGGTTGGAACGAATGGGGGGTGCAGCATGTGAGATGGGCGGGAAGCAGATAGAAGAGGCATTGACAGAAGAAGCAATCATGGAATGGAAGGAATGCAAAGCGAAATGTTGATGCGAGTGGGATCGATTATGAGGGGCGCTGCAGGAGGGATGGGGCGGTGCAATGTAGATGGTGATGGTGATGCGGTAGGGCGCGCTCACATGGCGATGCGGTAGGGCGCGCTCACATGGCGATGCGGTAGGGCGCGCTCACATGGCGATGCGGTAGGGCGCGCTCACATGGCGATGCGGTAGGGCGCGCTCACATGGCGATGCGGTAGGGCACGCTCACATGGCGATGCGGTAGGGCGCGCTCACATGGCGATGCGGTAGGGCGCGCTCACATGGCGATGCGGTAGGGCGCGCTCACATGGCGATGCGGTAGGGCGCGCTCACATGGCGATGCGGTAGGGCGCGCTCACATGGCGATGCGGTAGGGCGCGCTCACATGGCGATGCGGTAGGGCGCGCTCACATGGCGATGCCGAGGAGGAGCCAGAAGGTGCCGACGAAGAAGAATGACGCCGCCACTGCCAGTATCAACTGCCACGCGCCGTTGGGAATGGGGGGAGGGGGCGAAGGCCGTAGGGTTTGGGGAGGGGAAAGGTGACGGAGGTTGAGACGCGAAAGGTCACTGAACGAGTGGGAAGGAAACGTCTCGTTTGGAGGAGTAGGGCATCACCGAAATGCGCTTGCACCGGCACCGAAGGACGCGGGATAAGGGCGGTCCGATGGGTGAGGGTTGAAGGAGGTGCTCACGAAAAGAGGCGCGAGGAGGCACATGATCCAGCCGACGGCGCCGCGTTGGAAGAAGCCCGGCGCGGGTATGCGGACGTGCAGCGCGCCCTCCCTCCTCGCCATTTCCTGAAATGTGCATTGCCATGGGCACAAGAAGAATCGCAGAATCGCAGCGGATGCGGTGCGGACTCCGCGGTGGGATTCTTCGGCGGGGCGTGGTGACGTGTTGAATAAGGGATGACGCATCGCGCTCCACGGTTACATCTACTGATGCTATCTATTGAAATCGAGAAAGCGAAAAAGAGAAGTCGACGGGCGTACCACGCGGCTCGATTCGGGCTTGCAGTATCGAGGAGGCCACGAAGTCGCGGGAACTCCTACAGCGGGAATTCCCATTGCGGGGGGAGGCGGAGCCGGGGGGTGAGAGACAGGCGGAGGCGGATGCGCGGGTTCGGACTTGGCGGTTCCCTCGGACATTGCAGTCGCCGTTGCTTGCGCCTTTTTATCAAGCTGCGCGTCGCATGTTGAGTTACCCATCGTCGTGGTCGGGCAATGCTGCAGCTAGGTGGCGCTGGTGCGAAAATAGGTTTTCCGATGCGAGCGGTAAAAGTAAGAGGTGTTTGATTTGAAGTGCTGCAAAGTGATAAAGCAGTAAGTGCTAAGTGAATTGGAAATGATCACTGATGTTCAGAGCAACAGAGATTGCACGGGGGATTTGAATGACCAGCGCATGTTGGGGTGGGGTGGGGAGCTCTCCTTGGGTCAGCACAGCTGCACATTGTGGAGTGGGTGGAATACCCGACTCTGGTGTTGGTTCGTTTAGCTACGGTGCAGTTGGTTAATGTGCAGCATATCAGGTGACGCAGAAGATTTCAGTGCGGTGCATTCCAGTCCAGTCGTAAGTTGGGCTTGATTCGCTGTCATTGCCAGTCTCTCCACGTGGTGGTTGAGCCTCGATGGCCCAGCGAGGCAAGGTTGCCTTTCGCTGACTTGCTGGCGGTGCCTCGCTGGCATGCAACGACCTATTTGACCATAGCGACGCACGAAAAAGATGAACGACAGAAGTTCAACAAGGTGCTCTTCACGCCGTTTCCTAACTGCGTTTACTCACACTAACGATAATCTCACGTTCTGCAAAACGCTATATATTATGACACATGTGGAACACGTCCAGGGTCCTTTACCCAGGAAGTGCACTAGAAGTGCCAATCCTCTCAACTCGTGTTATGCACAGAGTCTTGCTCACATTCCGTTCTAGGAATCCTGCACTAGCCCAAGCTACAGTAAGTAGCTAAAGCACTCACAATAGTATGTTAGAGCACCAGCTTGATTGCATCATAGCACTCGATGACACAGCCAGGCATAAGCTCGTGCACCACAACATTAGACTCCACATTCTGCTCCTTCAACGTCACCGCTACATGCACCTTGCCGCTCTTCACTCCTTGTAACGGTAACCACAGCGTGTGGCGCTGTCCATCCCGTAACACGTTCAAGTTGACATTCGCCTTGCCTATAGATTCATCAGAAGAGAAGGTGTCTCGATCTTTCACGACGAGTTGAAGGTACGTGACGTCAGGGTCCCATACGGGTACGGAGACCTTAAACTCCTCGTACCATTTAGGGTTGAGCGTTCGCGAGATATGCTTCGTTTGAAACGTTGCTTCTCCGATCTTGCCGATTGTGTACGGATCCGAATAACCTGTTAAAAAACGATTCATGGAAGACGTGTTTGTCACGATACTCCAAAACAATCACATCAAGCCATGTCGCAGCAGCAGTAGAAGTAGAAGTAGAAGTAGAAGTAGAAGTAGAAGTAGAAGTAGAAGTAGAAGTAGAAGTAGAAGTAGAAGTAGAAGTAGAAGTAGAAGTAGAAGTAGAAGTAGAAGTAGAAGTAGAAGTAGAAGTAGAAGTAGAAGTAGAAGTAGAAGTAGAAGTAGAAGTAGAAGTAGAAGTAGAAGTAGAAGTAGAAGTAGAAGTAGAAGTAGAAGTAGAAGTAGAAGTAGAAGTAGAAGTAGAAGTAGAAGTAGAAGTAGAAGTAGAAGTAGAAGTAGAAGTAGAAGTAGAAGTAGAAGTAGAAGTAGAAGTAGAAGTAGAAGTAGAAGTAGAAGTAGAAGTAGAAGTAGAAGTAGAAGTAGAAGTAGAAGTAGAAGTAGAAGTAGAAGTAGAAGTAGAAGTAGAAGTAGAAGTAGAAGTAGAAGTAGAAGTAGAAGTAGAAGTAGAAGTAGAAGTAGAAGTAGAAGTAGAAGTAGAAGTAGAAGTAGAAGTAGAAGTAGAAGTAGAAGTAGAAGTAGAAGTAGAAGTAGAAGTAGAAGTAGAAGTAGAAGTAGAAGTAGAAGTAGAAGTAGAAGTAGAAGTAGAAGTAGAAGTAGAAGTAGAAGTAGAAGTAGAAGTAGAAGTAGAAGTAGAAGTAGAAGTAGAAGTAGAAGTAGAAGTAGAAGTAGAAGTAGAAGTAGAAGTAGAAGTAGAAGTAGAAGTAGAAGTAGAAGTAGAAGTAGAAGAAGAAGTAGAAGAAGAAGTAGAAGAAGAAGTAGAAGAAGAAGTAGAAGTAAGAAGTAGAAGAAGAAGTAGAAGTAGAAGAAGAAGTAGAAGAAGAAGTAGAAGAAGAAGTAGAAGAAGAAGTAGAAGAAGAAGTAGAAGAAGAAGTAGAAGAAGAAGTAGAAGAAGAAGTAGAAGAAGAAGTAGAAGAAGTAGAAGAAGAAGTAGAAGAAGAAGTAGAAGAAGAAGTAGAAGAAGAAGTAGAAGAAGAAGTAGAAGAAGAAGTAGAAGAAGAAGTAGAAGAAGAAGTAGAAGAAGAAGTAGAAGAAGAAGTAGAAGAAGAAGTAGAAGAAGAAGTAGAAGAAGAAGTAGAAGAAGAAGTAGAAGAAGTAGAAGAAGAAGTAGAAGAAGAAGTAGAAGAAGAAGTAGAAGAAGAAGTAGAAGAAGAAGTAGAAGAAGAAGTAGAAGAAGAAGTAGAAGAAGAAGTAGAAGAAGAAGTAGAAGAAGAAGTAGAAGAAGAAGAAGAAGAAAAAATAAAAGCAGAAAACGGAGAAGCAGAATGGCAGGCACAAGCACGAGCACAAGCTCTAGCCGATCTCTCACCTGTCATGTCAGCAACGACCAGATCCGTCGCTTCAATAATCTCCACATGAGCCACCCACACCTGCGGCACCTCCTTCTCCACTCCCTGCAGCCCCTGCGCATCAGACTCCCAGCCTCCTTCTGTCCCCCCCCCTGCCTCCCCAGCCTCTCCCATTCCCCCCTTTCCTGCCACAGGGGAGTCGCTGGCAGCCGGGGGACTGGAAGGCCCATAGGAAGAGGAAGAGGCAGCAGGAGCGTCAGCCATGGCTGAGAGCTCCTGCCCCGAAGGAATGCTGGAGAGCGCAGGTGCTTTGCCTGCTGGCTTCTTGGACGACCGTGACGACACCCGGGAATGTGATTCTGGTGCAGGTGTTAACTGGCCGGCACTGGTGGGGGCAGAGTTAACCCCCGCTTTCCCATCTCCACCCTCCTCACCTCCTTCCACTGACTCATTCTCTTCATCATCAGTCTCTGCCGGCCCAAGGTGATCCTCTACAGTCACAGCCACATGCACCCTCCCTGTAGCCACGTTCTCCAGCTTCACCCACAGGGCGTGCCTCGCACCATCCCTCAACGACATTATATCGAGGGCAGCGTTCCCTAGCGGGTCGTGCTGAGTCAGCATATCACGGTCGAAAATGTTCAGCTTCAAGAGGAACGGGCTGCCCGCAGGCGGCCATTCCTTCACGGGCAGCGAAAACTTTTCGTTCCATCGCGGGCAGAGCGTCTTGAAAATGATTTTGGTGGAGAATTTGGAAGAGCCCAGGGAGCCTTTCAGGTAGGGATCAGATGTGCCTGCACGGCACACGTGTGGGGGCCAGAGAGAAGGGGGAATGGGGAAGGGAAGAGAAAAAAGGGGCAGGGAAGAGGAAAAAGGGGCAGGGAAGAGGAAAAAGGGGCAGGGAAGAGGAAAAAGGGGCAGGGAAGAGGAAAAAGGGGCAGGGAAGAGGAAAAAGGGGTAGGGAAGAGGAAAAAGGGGCAGGGAAGAGGAAAAAGGGGCAGGGAAGAGGAAAAAGGGGCAGGGAAGAGGAAAAAGGGGCAGGGAAGAGGAAAAAGGGACAGGGAAGAGGAGGGGCAGGGAAGAGGGAAAAGGGGCAGGGAAGAGGAAAAAGGGGCAGGGAAGAGGAAAAAGGGGCAGGGAAGAGGAAAAAGGGGCAGGGAAGAGGAAAAAGGGGCAGGGAAGAGGAAAAAGGGGCAGGGAAGAGGAAAAAGGGACAGGGAAGAGGAGGGGCAGGGAGGAGGAAAAAGAGGCAGGAAGTCGCGGGAGGTGGACATGGAATATTCGGAGGACTTTACGAAGCCTTTCAGAATGGGGTTGGATTGGATGTGCCTGCTTGGTATGAGCCAACCGCAGCACCGACAAAGAGCAAGAATGAGGGCTAAGATGAGGAAGGACTTATAAAGTGAAGGAAACGAATATCAGAACAGGGCGCTTAATAAAAACTCTTAATGAGAACCTGAGGAGTGAACTGTAAGCGAGAGCATACAGTAAGTGTAACACCTAAACTCGAGACCTGATGGAACCCAGTGATGCTTGCCCCACTGCGAAAGTCTTATCCAACCCAAGATCCGCACCACACGTACGAGCTTACAAGTTACAACCCAGAAGGCACAACAACGTAACCATTTGATTGGCGGGAATGAGGGAGTCAGCCTCATCGGCATCGTTCACCTCCACGTGAACAGCCGCCACTGCACTGCCCTCAAGCCCTCACCACAACCCCAATCGTCCCCGCTACAACAGCCCACACACTCACCAATCTTATCGGCACCAACGAGGGAATCAGCCTCGATCACCTCCACGTGGACAGTGGCCACGGCAATACCCAAGCGGGCACCAGACCCTGACCCCAGGCGCCTCAGCGACCCCGACTTGAATGACCAGCTTCGGCTGCCTGACCGTGGTGTGCCCTCCTTGGGCGTTTTTGGTGCAGGAGTGATTTCCTTGGGAGTTGTGGCCCCAGGGGTGGTTTCGTCAAGGGAGGTAGGCTGGGATGAGGTGGTGGTGCTGCCTGAGCGGCTGTTGCGGCTGCCACGGCCGGTGCTGGACAGGCCTCGGAACCAACTGCTGCTGCTCTTGGCGGATGAGGAGGAGGAGGGCGTGAGAGACGGGGAGGGGGGGACCTCGGAGGTAGATGAATGCGGAACGACTGTGGGAGAGGGTAGGGCGGGAGGGCGGAGGTGGATGGGGGAAGAGGGAAGAAGAGAAATGAGGCTGTGGCTCGTGGGACGTGTTTTGACGCACATTAAACCCCTTGAGGCGTGCATGCTGTGTTGGCAGGTGCAGCTTGGCAGGCGCGGCTAGAGGGCAAAGAAGCAAAGGTAGAGATGCAGGAAAAAAAGATAAGAGAGGAGGTTTTGCTGTTTTACAGCAAGAGGATGGTAAAGGGAAGAGCTCCAAGGAAGTTGCGGACCTGTGGCTGTGGTGGGCGCAGCAACTCGAGCAGCATCCTCTGAGCAGGCAGCAGACACGGATTGCGAGTCGTGAGTGTACGACTCTAATGTGCATGTTGATGCGTCTGACGCTGCTCTCTCCACTCCCCTTCCACCCACAGCTGCACCACCACTCTCACCACCAGCACTACCACCAGCAGCGACAGCGGAAGGGCCAGCAGGATCGGAGTCACTGCCGCTGGGACCAATGCCCCCGTCCTCCTTCACCTCTACAGCCACTCTGATCTTTCCATTTCCGCCGTCCACCAGTGGCAACCACTCTTCCTTCCTCCCTGCCCCCCTAACCGCACTAATGTCCATCTGAGCCCGCCCGATCGCATCATTGGCTGAGAACATATCGTAGTCTTTCACGCGCAGTACCAGAGTGTAGCTTTCGGGCAGCGACCAGTCCGCCACGGGCACGTCAAACTTTTGGTTCCACTGCGGGTTAAGGTTTTTCGAGATGACCGCGGTTTGGAAGCGGGCGGCGCCGATCGACCCTTTCACGTAGGGGTCAGATGTGCCGCCCGAATCTGCCGCCAGGAGATCCTTTGCCTCCATGACTTCGACCAATAGCGTGGCGACAGCTGGCAAGGCGGCAGCACCGTCCTTGCCTTTCTTGGAAAGAAATTTCTTGGAGATAGCAGAGAGGGTACCTGGGGGCACGTACAAAGGGGGTGGGGAGAGAGGGGAGGACAGGAGCGAGAGTGGGAGGGAGGTTAGGTGCGGAGAGAAGAAAAGGGTTGGGAAGAGCAGAGGAGGCAGCTGTGATCCGGAGGGTGTTGAGAGTGGGGAAGTGGGAGAGTGGGGGAGAGGGGGAGGCGGGAGGGAGCACAGTACTCACCCTTTGCCTAGAGAGCACACCTCTCACTCCCACCAATGACAGCACATTACTTCGTCCTTTCTTTGACAAACAGCCGTGGAGTGACAATGCCAATTCCCTCAGGTGTGGAAGCGAGCAGTGACAGGCACGTCAAGCCCCCCATGCCTGCTCCTTAGTTACACGCACCTCCCGCTCTCTTGCCCCCGACCCCAAGCATGCAGCTCCACGCTCTCCGTCAGCCACCACCCACCCCTTCCGTCTCTCTCTTTGTAACCACACTATTCACCTGTCCCCTTAGCACCACGCCGCACACTCTTCCCCTTGGTGATGGGCCGGGGAGCGACGATGCTGATCTCCTCGGGTGTGAAGGGCGGCACTGGTAGTTAAACCTTGAGCGCACACCCCCCACTCACTCCGCCATGCACGCGCACCCCACTACCTCTTGTTCCACGCCACTCACTCTTGGCCTTGGTGATGGGCCGGGGAGTGACAATGCTGATCTCCTCGGGTGTGGGGGGCGGCACTGGCAGGTCCAGCACAAAGGCCGCTGCCCTCACCGCGTCCACCACCACCAGCCGGTTGGGCTGCAGATGGATGGGGTGGGGTGGAGGGGGAACGGGGTTGAGGGGATGACACACGTAAAGAGGTCCAGCACCAAGGCAGCTGCCCTCACCGCGTCCACCACCACCAGTCGGTTGGGCTGTGAAAGGGGGGTGGGGGGGGTGGCGTGGGTTAGGAGAGGGAGAGCAACATATGTGAAGGCATGACACACTGAGCCATGTGAGGCATGACACACTGAGCCATGTGAGGCATGACACACTGAGCCATGTGAGGCATGACACACTGAGCCATGTGAGGCATGACACACTGAGCCATGTGAGGCATGGACACACTGAGCCATGTGAGGCATGACACACTGAGCCATGTGAGGCATGACACACTGAGGCATGACACACTGAGCCATGTGAGGCATGACACACTGAGCCATGTGAGGCATGACACACTGAGCCATGTGAGGCCATGACACACTGAGCCATGTGAGGCATGACACACTGAGCCATGTGAGGCATGACACACTGAGCCATGTGAGGCATGACACACTGAGCCATGTGAGGCATGACACACTGAGCCATGTGAGGCATGACACACTGAGCCATGTGAGGCATGACACACTGAGCCATGTGAGGCATGACACACTGAGCCATGTGAGGCATGACACACTGAGCCATGTGAGGCATGACACACTGAGCCATGTGAGGCATGACACACTGAGCCATGTGAGGCATGACACACTGAGCCATGTGAGGCATGACACACTGAGCCATGTGAGGCATGACACACTGAGCCATGTGAGGCATGACACACTGAGCCATGTGAGGCATGACACACTGAGCCATGTGAGGCATGACACACTGAGCCATGTGAGGCATGACACACTGAGCCATGTGAGGCATGACACACTGAGCCATGTGAGGCATGACACACTGAGCCATGTGAGGCATGACACACTGAGCCATGTGAGGCATGACACACTGAGCCATGTGAGGCATGACACACTGAGCCATGTGAGGCATGACACACTGAGCCATGTGAGGCATGACACACTGAGCCATGTGAGGCATGACACACTGAGCCATGTGAGGCATGACACACTGAGCCATGTGAGGCATGACACACTGAGCCATGTGAGGCATGACACACTGAGCCATGTGAGGCATGACACACTGAGCCATGTGAGGCATGACACACTGAGCCATGTGAGGCATGACACACTGAGCCATGTGAGGCATGACACACTGAGCCATGTGAGGCATGACACACTGAGCCATGTGAGGCATGACACACTGAGCCATGTGAGGCATGACACACTGAGCCATGTGAGGCATGACACACTGAGCCATGTGAGGCATGACACACTGAGCCATGTGAGGCATGACACACTGAGCCATGTGAGGCATGACACACTGAGCCATGTGA